TGCACGGGAATACTCCAATTTCTGTGGAAATTGTTATGGGTGATCTGGAGGAGAGGTAGAATTACCGCACAATGGAGACAAGCCGGCGGGATATGGATCCCTAAGGAAGAATCCTCAAAAGAGTTTGAACAATTTCGTATCATTTCTCTACTTAATACCGAGTGCAAGATCTTCTTCGGGATATTGGCCAAACGTTTCTCTTACTACTGTGTCAATAATGGCTATATAGACTCGTCAGTCCAGAGAGGAGTCATCGCTGGAACACCAAGCTTCCTGGAAAACATAGGAGTACTAACATAACTTCAGAGAGAAGCCAGAAAGAACAAGCGTGACTTAACGGTCTCATGGCTGGACCTCGCAAACGCCTACTGGTCGATTACACACAAGCCCGTGGGTGAAGCTTTAGAACGGCACCACGTTCCTAGAATCATTGGCAACAATCATGGATTATTACAACTTTCAGGTGAGAGTAACAACAAGAACCACTACGTCTGCGTGGCACAGACTTGAAAGAGGTATAATAATCGGCTGTACAATATCGGCAGCACTCTTCGCTTTAGCTATGAATATGATTGTCAATGCTGCAGACAAGGAGTGCCGTGGACCTCAGTCAGAGTCTGGAGTCACCAATAAGAGCTTACATGGATGACACAACGAACTCTGTAACATGTGGCAGGTGACTCTTGAGGGGTCTTGAAAGAAACATGAACTGGACTAGGATGAAATTTAAACCAATTAAATCAAGGCCTATAGCAGGGGTCGGCAACTCATTCGACCTCGTGGGCCGGATCGTGTTATAATGACGGGTCGCGGGCTGGACGAAGGCCATTAATGAAAAATTAAGGAAAATTACATATGCAGACCCTTGTCAACCTAAATAAAATATTTAAAACCATAATGAAAATAAACATTGAAAAATCAGAAAAACAAAAGAAAATCTAATTTTTTTTTTTTTTTTACTAAAACAAAATTTATTGAAACAAAACAAGTACAGTTGACCACTGATGACAATTCCAGAACAACGTAACAATAAACAATTTTTTTTCTATCCTCTGCCAACCGCAATGATGGAGAAAGCATTACCTCGAACCATCGCCAGTGAGACACGCTGCAAGAGCCACTCCGTTTCGCGAGGCTCGTCCCTTAATCGAGACGCAATCGCGCCAATCCTCCGAAGGAACGCCATCGAACGAGGGCCAATAACCCCTGAAGTCTCCACTGCCACAAGAGTAAAAAAAAATCTATCAGCAAGAGAAGAATATTCAACTATTTTTTTCATCTCTGCGTACCCGCACGACGGATCCTGGCTCAACCGCGGAACTGATCAAATTACCGACCGAAAATGTATCCGCGCAGGTCGCATCCCAAATCAACGACTTCCCCAAAATTAAAATCTAAAATTAAAAAAACACCTAACAAAAATTACTTTTCCTCAAGGAACGTCAAAATACTTCAAAGCGAAAAAAATCAACCGAAGTGAAATGGATGAAATTATGACGTATAGGTTTGAAACTGTTATTGAAAATTGTTCCACAAGCGAACCACACACACACACACATCAAACAAAACCTAAGCACATATACCCATACATACGAGTACAAACAGTTGCAAACATATACACTTACGTACGTACACATGCGGTATCATTCACACATTCATGAGGCATGTATGTATAATGTGCGTATGTTTAACTGTCTTTAGATTTCTGCTACCTCACATGTCAGTCTCTCCCTGGCCTCTTTCACTTTATCGTTCCTTTCGCTTCTGTCATCTTTTAATGTAGCCAAGGGTCATAACAAATATGTATCCATTATTTGACATTAAACGTAGGCAACGCAACTTGGTAAAATAAGTCTCATGAAAGATAACTGGCAGATAGTCTAATATTTTTAGTGCACTGAGATGTGTAGAAAAAGAAAAAAAATCCTGAATTTATTTTTTTTTGAATAAGTAAATACGAAGAGCACTGATTACATTCATTTGAATTTTATTTCGGTATTTAAAACATTTCTAATTTTATTCAGTTTATTTGCAGAGTAATTAAGCTTTACAAAGCGTGACATATAGCCCGTGTCAAGCCAGGCCGCATGCAAAAAAATCAGTGAAAGACTCTTGTTTGAGAAGAAGAAGAGGGGTATGATAAGATAAGAACATGGCCCATTGAAAGATTGCAGCAATTTACATAGGGTAGGTGGCAGGGGTAAGCGATGCGGTGTCGCTGTTGGAGGAATGAGATAGAAAGCCGACTGAGACAACATTGTCCCTTTGAAGCTGTTGCCGGTCGGTCGGTCGGTCGGTCGGTCGGTCGGGCAAATCGGCTCTCAGTTTTTGTTTTATGGTTAGTTTATTTTTTTTTTATTTTTTACGCTAAAATGGAGGTGATTGTGTTTTGATTGTGTTGTTGCGGTCATAGTATTCAAATTCGGTTGGGTGGATCAGAGGAAGATAACAGCAGGCCTTTTGTCGAATTCGAAAGCCTCGTCTCTCATCTTAAAAGATAGAGTCATTGGTAATCAGGCTCGCGGGCCGGTCAAAATGCCTTCGCGGGCCGTAGGTTGCCGACCCTTGACCTATAGTGATTAAGAAAGGACAGGTCACTGACAAATATATATTTACTGTTGCGGGAACAAATATCTCAATGCTCTCAGAGAAACCTAAAAGTTTAAGCAATGCTGCGCTGTATGGTAACACAAATACGCTAAATCTACCACTTAACAGTCTCAAAGAGGAGTTCCTAGTAAGCTGGACTAGAGAGATCCTCCATTTCAGAGAATCTAAAGACCCGAAAGTGAGAGGAGCAGGATTAGAGACCCGCACAGGAAGAAAATGAAGCGCCATTAAGGAATTAGCTGTGGCAGAAGAGAGGCTAAGACAAAAAGCCTTTATAGGAATCACGGCAAAAGGTTAAGACAGGATTGGGCTATTTTCCCAGTAAACGATACGATAAAGCTCAAGGTACAGAAAAACACCAGTTATTACAAAATGAAGTCCGACCAGGCATTGAAGAAAACCGTTACTGTAGAATGGTCGAGTTTTGCGAACAAGGAGCATGGACAAAATGGGAAGGAATTGAACAGCGTAAGATAAATTGGTCAGGTTGCTGGCACACTGACTTCAGTAAAATACAGATCCTAAAAAAATCAGTCTGATAGAGTTCGCATTCGTTTGCAGCAGGTTTCTGATACTGTGCTATGAAAATATTTAGGTCTTCCGGTATATTACCACTGTCGTATATTTCATTTAATACGTTTATAATTTTGTCAATACCGAAATCATCTAAAGCTGCCAGCTTCTTATTTTACACTTTCATATGGTCCTGCTGCTTTGTACCTATTCGATTTGTCCAGTGCTGACTTCACTTCAGATTTTAATATTTCAGATTTTTCGATATTTCTCTGTATTGCCAGTTGTTCTTTTTCGCAGTAGAAGAGTTATCCGATATATTCGTTCCATCTCTGAAGTATTTTTCTTTCTCTATTATCTATTCCTTATATGCACTCCTTGGATTTTATGCATCCTATTGATGAGCCCGTCTTTTGTACTCTTATTCGTTAATGCATATCTATTTTATCTGTAATGCTCATTCTATTTCTGCACACTATCCGTTGAGTCACTCCTCATTTGCCTGCTTACATTTGTTCCTAATTTTTTTGTGCAATGAACTATATTCTGTGTCAAACCTTAGCATTGTTTTCTGTCTCCTTTTCATTATGCCGAGAATTTCATTTGTTATCCTTGTCTAGTTTTTATTTGGGGGGGGGATGATCTCGTTTTTTGTTATTACGAAGGGTCTTAATGTATCCCACTACGAATTTCCACTCAGTAATTTGGTTGCTACCTTGGTTCTCTTCAAGTTCTGTAGTTTCACTCTAAGGTTACATATCACTGGAAGGTGGTCGCTTCTGCAGTCTGTACTTGGGTTTGTTTACAGTGTAAAACTACATTCCCGAATCTCTTATTGATTGTTATGCAGTCTATTTCTTTCTTGGTTTCTTCTCTCAGGCTTCTTCATGTCAATAAATGTCTTGGCTGTTGCTGAAACCTAGTTTTGTCTACGACTTCATCGTTTGCATGCATTATTGGACCAATTTTTCTCCACGTTCATTCCGAATTCCGAGTCCAAATTTACTAACTACTTCACCATCGTTCTCCTTCCCAATTTCTTTTGCATCCAGGTTTCACATGACGGTTATAATTTCCTGCAATTTGCATTGAACCATGGCGTTGTTTAGAATACAGTAAAACCTTTCAATTTCTTCTGTACTTTGTGCTGATGGTGCATATCCAACTATGATGGATAAGTTGAAAAGCTTTCCTTTCAGTTTAACTACAAGAATTATATCAGATCAGATAATTGGTAGTATCCCAGAATACATTTCTTTATGTTTTGGTCTAATATGAATCTTACCACCCTCTCATCTTTTTCTTTGCCTGTTTGTATAACCCTGTGTTTGTCACTGACTATTTAACCATCTAGTTATACATCCGCCTAAAATATCAACATTTAACCTAGTCATTTTATTTTTTAAATTCAAATTTCAGATATAAGCCATGAATCTTTTGACTTTCCGAATCTGAATAGTGGCGATTTTTTTTCTTTTCCCACTATTAACTCGAAAAAGTCAAGTTAAGAAATTAATTTGAATTTTTTTTAATTGTTTAGTGAGTGTTATTTTTAAGAGAAATACCATTCAGATGTAGCAGTTATCTCCCTTTAATTTTCTAAGTTTTGATTTTTCGTTGAAGTGAACGGCTCGATGAAGTGAAGATTCGATTTTACGCTTTCGGTGAAACTAGTTTTCAAATTTACTGTTATGAACCGGACCCGTTGTTAGGAGAGATTATGTCTAGCCGGAAGCTGGAATCTCATTAGGATGGTTTCTAATAAAGTTTTAAAACAAATAGGAGAATATATGTTCGCCTATCATCTTGTTCACAATGCTTCTTCGCTTTTTTTTTTTTTTAACAGGTGTACAGTTTATCCCTTGCTTCCTGTTTAGGATTGCATTTCCAATTCTTTTTAAAAAATTCTCTTTCCTCCCTCCCACTCCGTCTCTCTCTCTCTCTCTCTCTCTCTCTCTCTCTCTCTCTCTCTCTCTGTCGTCATATAGATACTTTTAATTTTTCCACTTTGCAATTTAATCAGGGTACTCTGCTGTATTCCCATACTTAATACTTCTCGAATTCACTCTCGCGTGGTCATGTCTGACGTCATGAGCTGCGGTGCGATTTTCGCTTCCAGCGTCTTTATATGCACGAGTTTGTCGTTGCTTGGAAATCTTCCATGTAAACAGAAACAGACTATCATCACTGTCTTGTCCGTGTATTGCTTAATATATTGTAATGTAATTGACATCTTTGATAAAGGCTTATGTAAGCCGAAAGCTTAGATAGGATTAAAAAATGTGTATCAATTTTGATTTTCTTTCTTCTTTTAATGAATGTTATTAAGCTTATCAGACGATATGAAAAAATTTACATAAAATAAATAGACAAGACTTGTCTATATTATTTAATGAAGCATGTATATATAATATATATATATATATATATATATATATATATATATTTTAATTTCAATTAAAGGCATAATTATAATTTATAAATTCAGAGATATATTCATACAAAAAACAAATATAAGGTTAATGTTTAAATGGCGAGAATATCTTATTTATATTGTTTGCGAAGATGTATTCTCGCCATTTAAATCATTAACCACTTATTTGTTTTTTGTATGAATTATATGAATTTATATATATATATATTAATATATATATATATATATATATATATATATATATATATATATATATATTTATATATATTTACCCTGGATTTCACGCTTTATTCACATTTATCCAACCAAATATGTTAGCTCTATCTCTGATATTGAGCGCTTTCTAATAAGTACCACGCATATAATATATAAATAATTATACATATATATATTTATTTATATTTATATACACTTTTCACACACACACACACACACACACACACACACACACACACACACACACACACATATATATATATATATATATATATATATATATATATGCATATGCCATATACATTGTGCAACATTTCTTGTTGTTGAATGTTTCTTATTATTATTTCATATTTTGTGGTATTTTGCGTTAATATAAATACGTCAGGTCCTACTGACCTCTACATATGTACTGCTGGCCTTGGCTACGCCGTTGACCAAACTATATATCCATTTATGAGCTTCAAAATTAGGTCTTCAAAGGTCGCATGATACGCGAGTATCTACAATATATCACAGCTCTAGCAAAGCCACACTCTTTCATAATTGGACTATAAACTTCTTATCAAACCCATCCTCGTAAGTTTATTTTAAGCACTGTCCAATGCACATGCCCAAAAATAAACAATGAGAAACAGTTTCGTTTTGATATTTCTTTCACTTTGTCAGTTCAACTTTTCCTGCTTTATGGTATGTATGCTTCTTCTTCCATCTCGTTTTCCTTTTTTTCATTTGTTCCCCCCTATCATATTGCTGTTAAATTTTGTCTGTTTTTTTTGTAGCTATATTAATATTGAATCATTTTTATTTTAATTTGTGCATCATCTGCCGTGGATTAAGTGATGTTTGCCTTTTTAATATTTGATATCGTGTCAAATAGTTTCATTTTCTATGAAAAATTTAAATGTTACTTTTCCTTTTAATTCGTGATGTTAACATGATTTTCGTTAAATAAAAAATCTAATTTAAAATTTACGTATTAAAAAATTGTCAGGAAAATACAGAATGTAACCCCCCACCCCATTCTATATTGGCTCCACGACCGTTTACGAGGCCACGATTGGAAAATCAGTAGTGATTTTAACCCTCTTCTTTTCACCAAAATGGATACTTTTTCCGCAATAGGGCATCTTTTCATCATGGTATGCTATTTTTTTTTTAGCAAATCAGTGGAGGTACCTAATTTGAAGTATTTAAGAAAATAGCTTAAAAGTCCGTATGGTGTGGGGTGCATCTTTTTTTAAGCGGGCGGCTAATTGGGCCTCTGGCCCTAGATTAAAGGAACCTCTGGTCCAGCTTAGAAAACAGCAATTATATTTTTGAATACTAAAAGCGGGAACTTAGCCCCTATTTAAAACAAGAGGAGAAGGAGCCTAACCCCCCACTATCGTAAATATCTATTTTAAAATATTTATTTTAAAATATTGAGGGGGGACTTAGCCCTATTTTAGTCCTCTTTTTTTTTCATCAGTTATTTTTAACCCTGATGATAAAAAGATCCAAATTTAAAAAAAATGTGTATTGTCTAAATCTAGGTTCCTTCATGAGAACTAATGAAATAACAATTTTTTAGCACTTTTTTTTTTTTTTTTTTTTTTTTTTTTGTATGACAGACATTAATTTGGAAAATCTTGCAAAAATAAAAATAATTGTCGGGTGTTAATGAAACTTTCAGAAACTATTCACAAATTATGGAAATTATTATAAATATGATTTCTTTTTTTTATGTCATGGAAAAAAATTTTTTATATATTTATTACCCCCACCCCGACAATAACTAATTTTATGAAAGCTCCAGAAATTCAGTCGCATTCAGTTTAGTGATTATAATAATTAAAATCACAAGGCTTTGAGGGAAGCAAATCATGTATATTTTTTAATTGGACCTCCCCCCACCAGAAAATCAGCTCTGAATTGTAACATACAAAACTCAATAAAACCAAGATATTATTTAATTTCAAATGCTTTTATTTGCTTTTAGTTGTTTTTATGAATATGGACAATATTTTCTGAAAGCAAAAAATTTTTTCGATGAAAAATGATTTTTTAATTCAATTATTTGTTATTTCTTTATTTATAATAGATTTAAGTTGTTAAAATACATTTAAGTTGTTAAAATATTATAAAAAACCGCATTCAGTTTCGTAAATGTCCTTTTGAGATAGATCTTTTTTAGCACGTTGTAAATTGTATCGTTTTGACTAATCAGAAGACCCGCAGTAATTAAAAAATGTAATTTTCTGTTTATAATAGGGCTGTAATTATAAAGTACGGAAGACCAACTAGAATACAATTAAGTTGCGTTATTTGAGTTAAGCATTGTTCTCCGCTGTTCAGGCCTTTACTTTTGCGAAACACGTGTGGAGAAGTTAATTTGATTTTTCAATTTCAACTGAGAAGGGTACCTACAAGTATCAGTATGATCTTATGAAATTTATATAATCTTACTTTTATATTAATCTCAGTTATGACATTTTTCCATAAATGAAATATCAAAATTAATAATAAAATGAATGGAAATACAAATAACACAGTAAAATGCAATAAATGTAAATAAAATTATAGTATTTTATGTACACTTCTGATAAAATTTCATAAGAAAGGTACCTATAAATTAATAAATAAATAGATACCTTTCTTATGAAATTTAATCTCACTCTCAACAGTCTTATTTTAATTTCTTTATAATATATTTTCCGTAAAGCATCGTAAACGTAAAGGTGAACGCTAAATACAAAAAAAAGTTAGAGCGCTGAAAGCTTTCCTTAAAAATAACGAGGTAAATAATTTGTTCACTTAAATCTAAATAATTTCATTCTCAGCTTCCGTAGAATAAATTATCTTCACGTAATCTGTCAGTACGTCATTCATCACCTCTCAAGTGATGCGAAATGTTATGACCTGCTTTGTTTTATTTTCAAACTACATCTTTTCGGCGCAGAAACTAAATAATGCTTGTTTCAAAATATTTTAAATAAACATTATAATTTCTGATTTTCTTAAAATAAATTATGAAAAAATTATAATTGATTTTTAAAAGAATTTCGAACTGAGATTTTCATTTTTTTATAAAATGGAAAAAAATGGTTGACATGATTGATTATCTGTCAATTTTGCTGACTCAAAAAAAAAAACAAGATTATTAACGAAAATTTCGGACCTACTAGGAACGATTAAAAAAATGTAAAAAAAATACCCCAAAATATTTTGATCTTTCCTCTTAATATTAGCATAAACATTTAGACGATAAAATTTTGTTTTCGTCAAGTTTGGCGTCTTTTTCATCATGCTATGCTCTTTTTTAGCGATCTCATGGAGGTACCTATTGAAATGTTTATGTCATTATTAAGAGGAAAGACCAAATAAGTATTTTTGAGTATTTTTTTTTAAATTTTGAATTCTTTCTAGCACGTCCTAAATTTTAATTAAAAATCTTGTTTTTTTGAGTCATCAAAATTGACGTAAAATCAATCATCTTCCATTATTGACAATTATATACACAAAAAAGTCAAATTTCCCGTTTAAAAATCTTATAAAATTCAATTATACTTTTTTCATTAGGAAAATGAGAAACTTAAAGTATACTTAATGTAATTTGAAAGAAACATTACTTACTTTTTTATCAGATTTTTTTTTAAAAGAGACATATCCAACCGTAGTGCTTGTTTTTGGGGGCCTGACTGAGAGGTGTTAATTGATGTATGTCAATCTGTCGGAGTTAGCTCCTCCTTAATTCCCTAATTGTTCACTAGGGGTCTCTCTACCTATACTATAAATATTGGGCGACTTCTTGCCTCGTTCTCTTTTTCATTTCTTCATTTCAGCGAACACCTCTACATTCACCAAAGAACAAACACAAATGTTCACACACAGACAAATGTTATTGTCTATGTCCATTGTAAAATTGTGCTGTTTAATACACACACACACACACACACACATATATATATATATATATATATATATATATATATATATATATATATATATCGGTCTTCTTTGTTTACTTTTTATCTTCAGGTGGATTCAATCTCTGAGTCCGCCATTTTTTTATGAGTTGGACCTCCTAGCAGGAAATTAAACGCACGCGTTTCCCAATTCAACAAAACTCAAACCCACCCGGTTCTCTACAAAATGGTGACCCCAACGCGATTTTTCAACTCCTGCTAACAGAAACAAGACTGTATATATATACAAACTCACATTTGCACACATTTTCCAAACGAGAGTCAGTCAGGAAAACATTGAAAAACTCTAATACACAGACACTATTAACCAAAAAACATTTATGCAGCAACAAAAAATTTATGATTAGATCATATGAAAGTGCAAAATCACAAAATTTTAATTC